TAGTTAAGCGTACTTAAAAATTAGATGGGCCCAAATAAGAAATTTCTTTTAACCAAGCCCAATAAAACGTCACCGTTTCTTTAGAGCATCTTGAAACTTCGTCGTCTTCGGTGCTTCGATTCTGATCGACGGATCGATAAATCTTTGTGCAAACTCTCGAAGAACCCTAGATTCGAAGATGGTGTTGATTGAATCAACTGAGTCTGAGGAACAGATCCTCATCAAAGACGAGCCAAAGCCATCTTCTTCATCCTCACAGCAACCGGAAACAATGTCTGCGACGGAGACGAAACAAGTCGACGGAGTTGATTCCGACGGATTCGAGACTGCTAGCGAAAGAGAAATTAGCGACGAAGAAGACGATAGCAAAAACGACGCCGTTACGAGTCAGAAGGAACCACAACAGTCGGATAAACCAGAGAAGAAGGAAGAGCAGATTGAGCTAACGAGAGAAGGAGAGGCCATTATAGACGACGGATCAAGCCAGGTAGAGAAATGAGTTGTTACATTCATCTTTAGGGTTTTTCAGTTCTGGGTTTATGGATTCATTAGCGAACATGGTGACCGAGCTTCAATTTCGTGTTAAATGTTGAAACTTTGAGTGAATTCAGTAGAGAATTCTCTAAATCTAGCGTTGACAGATATTGAAATTCGTCATTTTGTTTTGTTTGGAAGGAGAAAGCTATGGCAGAAGCAAATGAGGCTAAAGTGGAAGGTAACAAATTGTTCGTAAATGGTCTTTACGAAGAGGCATTGTCAAAGTATGTGCTTGCTCTAGAGCTTGTTCAGGAGTTCTCCGATTCCATAGAGCTTCGATCTATATGCCATTTAAACAGAGGTGTATGTTTCCTCAAATTGGTATGTCCTTTTAGCATGAGTGATCACACGCTTATTTGATTTCTTCGTGGTCTCTTGAATTTTGATTGAAGATGTGTATAGTTATCGATAGTACTCTGAAGATGAGAGAAATCTTTGTCAGGGTAAATATGAAGAAACGATTAAGGAATGCACTAAAGCATTGGAGCTAAATCCTACTTACACTAAGGCCTTGGTTCGAAGGGCAGAAGCACACGAGAAGCTTGAACATTTTGAAGAAGCTTTCACCGGTGAGTTTATATGCAAGCAATAACCGTCTTTTCCTGTTGAGTTTTACGCATGAAACCAATTCATCAGAAAAATAAGCGAAGAGTTCAATGTTAGTTTCTGATACCTATACAGGATAGATAAATTTTAGATGTAGAATGGGTTTTTAATGTAAGAGTTTACACTGAGTCTCTATTCTCTCATATGCAGACTTGAAGAAAATCCTAGAACTTGATCCTTCGAACGATCAAGCTAGGAAAGGGATTAGACGCCTTGAACCTCTTGCTGCTGAGAAGCGAGAAAAGATGAAAGAAGAGGCTATAAGTAAGTTCAGAGTTTTGTACCTTAAACCTTTTATATCTTTCGCAATCAGCATCGAGTGTGATTCCTTGTGGTCATATATATATAATATATCCATCGTAGACGATCAAATGTTTTCTCAATTTAGTCTCTGCAATTATTTCATTGACTACTGTTAATATGCCGAATTACGTTTTGTGTTTGTAGCTAAGCTGAAGGAGATGGGAAACTCGATATTGGGTCGATTTGGGATGAGCGTGGACAACTTCAAGGCTGTTAAGGATCCCAACACTGGCTCCTACTCTTTTTCCTTAAACTAGTCGCCATATATCGTAGTGGTCTTAATGTTTTGTTTCTACCACTTAATATTCAGCTACAATCTGGTTAGTATTGCAATGTGTTCTGTTCTTGATGCATTGGTACTGAAAAGATGAGAGGTCTTTTTTGCATTTGATATAAATGTAAATTCAAAATTCAATGTTACAACAATGGATAATATTACTTTTCCATGATTCTTATCAATTGTTTGGTGATTATACCCAAATGATACAGAAAATGCAAGTTTTTTATAGGATTCAATTGAATCCCATGATGGTTGAATCCCATGAAAAACCATCAAGGGTCTTTGTATGTGTTTTGTGTGTTTATAGATTATGTGTTATGGCATGTTGCTCCAAGTACTCTTTGCTGTTCATTTCTGTTAATCTGCACAACATCATGAACAAATTCACTTGATGACCAAAATCCGGTTAAAGCTTTTAGGTTATTTAATCAAAGAGAGACTTTTAGTTACATTACCTACTGATGGTTCTATCTTTTGCAAAACCGAGCTCGTTGTCCACGCAGAGCTCAGATATATCGTTCTTTTTTGACCTCGACGATGTTCTTGGAGCGATCGATTTCGCCTCTGAGATTGTTACAATCTTTTCCAAGAGTTCTTCCGGACTTGCTTCAGCTGTACACAACAACCTTGCTCTGTTCTCATACATCACCTGCAACTCTTAAACAATAATCAGATTCAATGAAAGGTTTGGTTGTGCCATCATTAGAAAAATAAATATTAAAGAGATGGAACTGGGCATTGCATACATCGACTAGCGTGACGAATCTATACGCTGCAGTCCGGTTATGAAGCCCGAAAACCGGAATTCCTTCCAAGGCAAGAGTATGAAACTTCTCTGGAACATCAAGAAAAAGAAGAACCGTTTTGAGACAAGATTTGCAGATGAGGCAGAGAGAGAGAGAAAGATCCAAAGTGGAGTAACTTACTGAACAATCCAAAGTAATCCGCAGCTCCAAGAGGTCGGTCACATAACTCTTCAAAAGGAAAGTATGCACATCCATTAGCACCTAATGGAACCTGTTCATGAAGCAGGCATTGGTCTGATAAAGAACTCGTATAGACACAACAGAAGCGATGTTGGGATTACACAGAGGGTGGTTTTAACTATTAGTTGTACCTCTAATTTTCTTCCCATCACCACTTCTACTACCTGTGGACGTGCAACAACATTGTCTCCAATCAGTTGTTGGAACTTCTGTTTCAAAATGGTCGAAATATCTTTACCGATGAAATAGAATCCTTGCTCAGCCTGCACAAGTCAAGAAGCATGCCGGTTATTGAACTTTGCTTTGACTTGAAGCCAACCTAGGCAGTTTCTATGAGGATTTAAGAACAGTACCGAAGTTAGTTTCCGGTAATCAACAGCTGAACCGATCTCATGAACCACGTTCCGTTCCTGCAAAATGCAAGTTTTATTACAGTCTGAGAAAAAACAAAAGAGATTGGTTATGGATTAATGAAAATAATGGAGATACCTTCAATAAGGAAATAAAAGGTAGGAAGAGATCTCTCTGCAGTCCTCCTTCATAGAGTTTATCAGGATTTCGATTCGATGTGGCAACAAGAATCTATAATTTATCCGGTATTCGCAAGCATGGACAAAAGTCAGTTTAACCCATATAAGCAGAGATGATCGTAGTAGAGTAATGTAAGTAAGGATAACACTTACGACGCCATTGCTGTAGAGATGTCCGAAGAGTCTGTTAAGTATCAGAGCATCTGCAACATCAGTTACCTATAATAACAGAAAACAGAAGCCGAAAAAGCTGAAACTCAAGATAGGTTGATCCCAAGATGATGATCATATTCAAGAAGAGATATATGTACAAAAGTGTATACCATGAACTCATCCAGACATAGTAAGATTGCATCATGAGCTATCTCTTGGGCAACAACTTCAAGTGGGTCTGATAAACCCTTATGCTTCTGCAAACATGTTGACCCGAAATTAAACGGGTGCTTAAAAGGCTAACACTTTCTATTCCAATAGAGAAAGAAACAATGGAAATTCGATTATACATACTTGTAACCGACTATGAACAGTCAACATGAAATCATGGAAATGTATCCTCTGCTTCTTCCAAGTGCTAGGCCTAATAAAACAATGGACGATCACGAGTGCGCATTGCTCGACCAAGAAAGATAAGTATTTGATCAAACGAACTTACAATTGATCAAAGAATAAGTCCATCAACATGGTTTTTCCTGTGCCTACACCTCCATAGAGGTATAATCCTTTGACGGGCGAGTAAGAAGGCTGCGGCATTAACCGTGACCAAAACCAACGGCTTCTGATTTCACAAACAAACACGGGGTTTCCGTAAGACTCAAGTTCTCAATCCTAACAG